TTAAGTGGGTGTGGGGGTGGAGCTACAGCATCACAGAGATTCTATGTTTTCTCTGTAGGACGGCCTGACCATGCTAACCTTATGGTGGGACTTGTTCATATGGATGTAGTAACTGCCTGGGATTTTCACAAATTGTAATCACAGAAGAAGAAGAAGAAGAAGGAGGAGGAGGAGGAGGAGGAGGAGGAGGAGAGGGAGAGGGAGAAGGAGAAGGAGAAGGAGAAGGAGAAAGAGAAGGAGAAGGTGTATGCTGAAGTGTGGGCCTATTGAGGCCCCTGAATCTGGGGACTTTTCCATGGCCTGCCACCTCCCAGTGTCTCAAGGACACTCCTCCACCTCAATGGACCTCAGATACTCTGGAGACATCCCATCCCTGGGGACTCAGAGCCAAGCCAGGGGTCTAGGCATCTAAATTGTAAAGCTCCAGTACTAAGCTAAGAAAGTCATGGTTGAGGTGGCTACTGATCCAAGGGGTGGATGAGGTTCCTTTGAAGGAATGTGGAATCATGAGCAGGTTTCAGACTTGATTCTACCAGGAGAAAATGGCACATAGGAACCCACCCCCAAATTGGCTGCAACTGGCCAACTACCCTGCTAGTGATAGGAAAGCCAACCTAATGTAATAACACCAAAATGTACAGAGTCACAGGATCAGTTCATTCTGAGTAGATGATGACCATAAAATTTCAGGTGTCCCCAAAGACACAGGCAAGGGTTTATGGTCACAGTAGAAACCCACACAGCATATTCATAGCAGGAATGTACTAGGACATGGTGGGAGGTAAATATGGGATTGTTACATTATATTTCTTGGGGAGATGTAAAGAAACATCTACTCACCCCAGAAAGGACACTGATGTAACAAAGAAAAGATTCCATCCTGATCAAGCCTGGGGAACCAATGAGGGTACTTGTAGGAGCACAGACAGGTACCTAAAGAGCATAGGAAACTCAAAAGTATATGTGCCACTGAAAAGTCTCACCCCAGCATGAATAATGACTCACAAAATCAAGGTCACTGGAGCCTCAGTCAACCTTCAACCACTTCTATACTCTAGCATCACCCAAGACCACATGCAGCTTGGGGCATGAGCAGGAAGGGGCCTGAAATCTCAGGTGAGGATCTGGAGGACTCTCTCCCTTGGCCACCCACAAAGAAAAAGGAAGGTCCATAGATCTGACATCACCACATTGTTTCCTTGTTTCATGGCCATGACTGCAAGCCAGGTCCCATCCAGGGAAACAGCCCTGCTGACCACAGGAACTGTCTCTGGCAGAGGTGTGCATTACTTACTTCTCCCATTGCTGTGACCAAATGCTCAACAGAAACATTTTATACACGGGCAGATTTCTCTGGGCTCACAGTTTAGCAGGTCCAGCTCACCGTGATGGGGTGGAGGATACACAATGACTGAAGCAGCTCAGTCGGCAATGGCAGGACCTCACTGTGGCAGGTAAGTCCCCACAATAGATCCATCGGTTCCCCAGGCTTGATCAAGATGGAATCTTTTCTTTGGTATGTCAGTGTCCTTTCTGGGGTAAATGGATATTTCTTTTCATCTCCCCCCAAAATATCATGTAACAGTTCCGTATTTGCCTCCCACCACGTCTCAGCATACTCCTGCTAAGGATATGCTGAATTTAAGGTAGGCTGAGAGGGTTTCTACTGTGACCATAAACCTTTGTCTTGGTCTTTGGGGACATTTTGGAATTTTATGGTCATCATGTACTCAGGATTAGAGTACTCAGAGCCTGTGACCCTGCACATCACCACAGTAGAAAAGAAGCAGAGACTTCCAGCTGGGAGTAAGGCTGGATTACATACAACCTTCAAAGGCTATCCCCAGTGACCCACCTCTACCAACCATGCCTCTTACCCCACAGGATCCACAATCTCCTGAATCAACATCATCTATGCACAAGAGCCTGTGGTGGACATTTTAAAATAGAATCATAATAGAGGACCACCAAGTAGTGTCTGGCCCCAAAAGATGTGAAGACAAGGAAATAATAATAATAGATCTCTACCTGTAAAAGAAAGAGAGAGAGAGAGAGAGAGAGAGAGAGAGAGAGAGAGAGAAGGAAGGAAGGAAAGAAAGAGAGAAAGAACAAGCATGGAACGAGGGGTGTTAAATTTCCCTCCATCAGGTGCAATTCAATAGCACTCTCATGGATTGGGATTGTTGGGCTTATCAGTGGCTGGTAACTACCTTCCAGTGGCAACAAAAGTGGACAAAGCTCTACGCAGACTCTAGGTTCGTAACTTAAATATGAAAACAAATACTTGACAAGATCCCTCTACAGGACTCTTTAGCCCTGCCTCACAGCTCACAGCTCACTTTCCTGTGGAAGTGGGGTGCCCTTCAGCCTGAGTGAAAACCCAGACTGCTGCTTCGTCAGCTGGTCATGGCAGCCTTCATGCACGTGATATGGCCTTTGATCAGCAGTACACAATATTATCACTTCAGGTCTCCAAGAAGAGACTGTAACCGGCAGCTTGCGAAAGTGAGATAGGCACTCACTATTGGAGAAAACTGCTGAAAGTCACTGCTCTAACCTTAACTGGTGATGATCCTAATTGACTCAGGAGGGGGGTGGGTGCATGCATGAGTAGGGCATTTTTTTTTCCAAAGAAGGACAGAAAGAGAATAGGCTCTATTGAATCAAAATTTCTCGAGGGTGGGGTCTTTTGTAGGTCACACATTCCTTCTTACAATGGCAGACGACCCACTAACTGCCCTTCCCACAGTTTTAAACTAGACTTTTCGAGATTGCAAATGCTAGGGTATGGATAGGACATGTTTGCCCCCCTCCCAGCTCGGGTTTTGAACTCTCAGACCCCAGGTAGTGGCAGTGTTGTGGGAGGTTCCTTTTACTTTGGGAGATGTGCCCTAGCTGGAGAAAGTAGGCCACTTGGGATGAGTCCTTAGGGGTATCCCATTCCCAGCCTTTTCTGGTTTCAGTCTTTGCTTTCTAGGCAGCATGAAGCAATCCCAATGTTTGGGCACACACTCTGGCTGATACGATGTTCTGCTCAAGTATGTGGTGCTAGGCAATCATGGACCCAACCTTCTGGAACCATGAGTGACATAAATCTTGACTGCCTTCAGTTGTTCCCATCAGGCTTTTTGCATTTTGGTCATATTAATGCAAAAATCAACAAACAGTTCACAAGCGAAT